ACACGGATTTAAAAACCAGTTGTAAGCACAAATTTTCATATGTTATCGTAATATTAACATTTAAATTTTCCTAGAATGAGCTTGCTTTTTGAACAAAAGTTACTCAGCGGGGTAGAAAGTGAGAGCATGATATGTACTTTCAATATTTCACATTTTCTAGCTAAATCAGCTGTGTTCTTGGAGTGATTCTCTTACATTTGCATTGTGGTGAAGCAACTTTAACTGAATGCGTATAAATATATGGATGTCTTATGAAAACATCAAAACAATTTCTAGAATGATATAAGTCAATTAACATGTCATGTAAGGTCGTTTATTACATGATTAAAACTTATAAATGTTTCAATAATGCACTCGATTCTGTGAGAAATTATAAAATGATGACAATCTCATTCTCACTACATATGTTTATATTATTACTAGTACTGTATACTCAACCGACTAACGCTCAATGTTTAAACACTATAAACCGGTCACATATCGACGCGGTACGTGACGTATACAAGGCGTATATGTGACGTATAACATAATGCAATAAACCACCACCACATAATGCAATAAACCACCACCACATAATGCAATAAACCACCACCACATAATGCAATAAACCACCACCACATAATGCAATAAACCACCACCACATAATGCAATAAACCACCACCACATAATGCAATAAACCACCACCACATAATGCAATAAACCACCACCACATAATGCAATAAACCACCACCACATAATGCAATAAACCACCACCACATAATGCAATAAACCACCACCACATAATGCAATAAACCACCACCACATAATGCAATAAACCACCACCACGGCATATAAAACATAAGTGTGGACGAGTGTGTAAACAGAGTGAATTGTTCAAATTCGAATAGTACACCCGACATTGGCGGTCGTTCATTGCCATCATATTATACCAACTTCATTTTATAAATTCTGAGGCATGGAGTGAACTTTAAAGAAACAAAAAACATGCACAAATGCGATATGGCACCATAAACGTTCTACTCACTTGCAGTCGTTGTAAAATAAAAATTGGAACTAGCATACAGCGATTATAGATACATCGAGCAGTGTAGAAAATTGGCTCCAATCGACATACTTAAAATAAGTACAAACACTGAATAATGACGTACGCTAGATTGCATTTCAAGTTTAAATGTCGACAACAATCCAGGGATAGCGAGCGAACTCATTTAGACGGAAGTAAAAAAAATGCCGAATTCAGTTCACAGCAGTATTTACCCCTACTGTGTGATATTCACTTTTGGGACACACATAGAAATCCGCGGTATCTTGTGTATTGTATAATTAAAAACACGCTCTAGTCCAATCAGCACAAAGTATCCAGGCAATTGAAATACTGGTATAATAATGCAATGTTTATTGACACGAAAATGTAACGCACTTGCTCAACGACAATCAAATGTGTTGTTTCCATGATTTTTTTCTAAAGCTCCTCCTTCCGTCAGCGTCAACGTATCCAGTGAATGGACTGTGATTGAAGGTAGTTCTTACTATGCATATTGTAATGTAGACGCCAATCCACTTCCTACTGTTTACTGGGAAGATGAAATGCATGACATTATAGCTGGTGCAGAATTAAAAATAAATGTTGTCAAACGAGATCAGCATGGTATATATACGTGCTATGCTAACAATACGCTATGGAATGGTGATGTGGGGACAGACTCGGACTATATAAAATTAGATGTACAATGTAAGTAATCTACCATACTAGGATATGTCTATTTTAAACGTTTTGTTTATTAAATATCAAGCATATATAATAAAAAT